ATAGATAGATAGATAGATAGATAGATAAAGTGACTGTCCTATCTTCCCACCAGTGATGGGTGAGGTCTCCAGTTTCTCCACATCCTTGCCACCACTTGTTAGTCTCTCTCTTGATTTTAGCCACCCTGGTGTGTGTGAAGCACGATGAGGCTGTCTGCTCCCATAGGGTTTACAGCACTGGAAACCCTCCCTACCCAGGGTCCCTGTGAGTCGGCAGGAACAGACTAATGACCGTGGGTTGGCTGGGCTGAATGGATGTGACTGGGGTCTTTCTTGCGGTTTTGATTTGGATTTCCATGATTCTTTTTGGGGAGTGTCTATTCAAATCCTTTGCTTAATTTCACTCGGATTATCTGTCTTTTGAATTATTGAGCTGTAATCATGTTATCCAGAAGAGCCCTAAGGTGCGGTGGTTAAACATCCGGCTACTGCAAGTAGCTGGAAGGCTGACGCTTCAACCTCACCCGCAGCCCCATGAGCGGAATCATCGTCATCATCAGAACATGTCAGAGATCGACACCCACAAAGATTTCAGCCTAGAAAAGCTTGTGGGGCGGCTTTACACTGTCCTACAGGGTTGCTGTGAGTTGTAATTGACCTCACACATGCAATGACAGCTGTGCAGACAGGTCCTTTATCAATTTCCTCCTGTGCTGACGGTTGTCCTCTTTTCTTTTAATCATTTTATTGGGGGCTCGTATGGCTCTTATCACAATCCATCCATCCATGGTGTCAAGCACATTTGTACATTTGTTGCCATCATCCTTCTCAAAACATTTTCTTTCTACTGGAGCCCTTGGGATCAGCTCATTTTCCCCTTTCCCACCCTCCCTCATGAACCCTTGATACTTTATAAATTATTATTTTGTCATGTCTTACACTGCAATCTCCCTTCACCCACTTTTCTGTTGTCCGTCCCCTGGGAGGGGGTTATATGTGCATCCTTGTGATCGTTCCCCCTCCCCCACCTCCCCTCCCCTCCTGGCATCACTACTCTCATTGTTGGCCCTGCGGGGTTGTCCTCTTTCTTCACGGTGTTCTTTGGATCAAAAAGGTTTGCATTGTGATGAAATCCAATTTATCGGCTAGTTTTTTGGTTCATGGTTTGGATTTAACAGGTATGTCTTTTGTGTGTGGTAAAATGTGTCTTGAAAACATGTGCCATGTTAATCCTTTTAAAGGTCTATCATCACATGACAGTAGTAATATTGCTATGGACCAGGCTGCGCACGCATCACCATCATCCTTCCCAAATGTACTTTTTTCACCCTCGATGCATGCAATTTTTAGAGACATTTTACATCAGCACCTCAAATGGAAAATCAAAGACTTGTCATAAATAGAGGGTGATTGTAACAACAGATCATTTTATAAATCTATTTAATAAATAGAGGCAAATGTAAAAGTACATTTATCGTGAACATTTTAGATGTAGTCATCCAATCAAAATAAAATGTGAATGAACCATTACATAGAAAACTGATTATTTACTTGCTAAACCTTTACCTAATTCATAATAAAAAGTTGAAAAATAAATTTTAAAATGCATGCATTATTCAGCCACAGAGTTTTAAATTCTCAGTACTCTAGACTCTCTGGAGCTGGGGGCACAGTGGCTACTAACTGTGAGTCCAGCAGTTCAAAGCCTGCATCTCAGGAGCCAGAGGGGGCTTTCCACTGCCGTAAGGCGTTCCAGCCTCAGGACCCTGGGGACGGTTCTGCCCTGTCCCACAGGGCTGCTATGAGTCAGCTGTTGGTCGCGACCCCCTTGGGGGTCGAACAACCCTTTCACAGGGTCGCCCGATTCATGACAGTAGCAAAACGGCAGTGATGAAGTAGCTGTGAAAATAATGTTATGGTGGGGGGTCACCACCACCCGAGGAACTGTATGAAAGGGCTGCAGCATCAGCAAAGTTGAGAACCACCGCTCTAGACTTTCTGTAGTCGCTGAGGGTGGCTGAGCCCCTGAAACCATCGCCCTGAGATATCCTTTAAACCGTGAACTGAATCCCCCTGAAGTCTCCTCACAGTCCACTCATAGTCTGATTTAACTTGTCCGACGAGGTCTGCGGTGAGCACTATGCTCTTTAAGAACAGTCTCTGCTACCCCGCGCCATCGAGTGGCTTCCAACTCCCGGGGTCACATGGACAGCGGCAACTCCAAAGGTTCCCTAAGCCATGTGTGTGTGTGTGTGTGTG